GTACTAATGGTCCGTGCTAAGATGACCCCGCAAGTGGTTCTGGCATGTTTTTTCAATAAGCAGAACCAATGTGACAAAAACTGGGCGGCAACGAAGTCACAAGACTTATCCAAAATGAACCTTACATTCCTCCAAATAAACTTATCTCTCCCAGCAAAAAGCCAACCAGGCGGGCAACAGAGGTGGCTGCAACCCAAGCAGATACACAAACGAAACTCCCGGTTGTTGTAAACTACCCAGTATTTTTAATATTACAGAGTAATGGGAGAGTGTATAGGAGAAAAGCTAACGTAACAGCTCCGAAAACGTGACATATCAGGGACAAAGACGTTAGACAAAACTCACAAAATTTTGCATAATGTTCCGGTGTTGGAGGTTAGCTTACTGTGAAGTAGGGCTGTTTTCGATGGAAAGCAGCGCTATAAGCACTGCTCAATACTTTGAATCAGCAGTACCCTGGCCAGGCCGTACTGTCTCTTCAAAGGTCAAAACGTAGCAATCAGCGTCTCCCGGCTGCCTCGCCGATCGCAGTTCACGAATAACAAGTTACCGCGCCTGATGGCTTTGAAGTTCAGGAACAAGGACGACCTAAGTGAGGAGCTTCATGCTTGGTACAGCATCAAAACCAACCTCTCTAGTCAAAAAAGTTGTGAGAGCTGACCCAGATCAGTGAGGCAACATCAATGTCGGTCAACCTCAATGGACAACATGAAGATCATGGTCCCGCCGACTGAATACACTACGGAAGCAAAAAACTCGGCAGCGGCCATTTTTCACAGAACTGGCCAGCTCGGTTTGAACACCTTGTTTAAAAATCCGACAATAGTTATTGCCACAGAAATGCACCAGGTAATGAGAGAAACCACCAAGTGCCTCTATAGCAACGTAAGAGCACTGAGGGGTAAGCTGGAAGAGATCAGGAATGTCAGATCTCAGGTGAGCATGAAGATCATAACCCTGCAACTGATACATGACTTATCACCTGACATTTCAGGTGATGAACTGAGCTCACAAAGCATGCCATTCTTCCAGTTAGATAGGTACATAAGACAGGAAGCGGTGTGTCTGTAAATAGTATTTCAGCTCGTTTTTTAAATTTTTTTAAAGGGCTTTTTAAAATCACCAAAACTTTTTTTAAAATTTTTAGTCTTTTAAAACAACCACTTCGTTCCTTAAAATAACCACAGAGTTTTTTAGGATCTTTTGTAATCCTTAAAATGCCGAAAATGGACAGGAAAAATAATTTGATTCCAAATGAAAAAAGAAAAAAGCCTCATAAAAAGTGATTGAAGATTAATTCACTGTTAAAGATGCGGCATTTCTTGTGGAGGTAAATTATCAGGCCGCTGCAAATCTTATAAGGTTATATAAAGATGAATCAAGAGTTGAGAAGAAAAAACAGGAAAACCATTAAATAAGAAAATCAATGAGGGGATTCTCAATTTGGTTGAAGAATTAGTAGAATTGAACCCATTAATAACAATGCTACTAATTTGAGAAAAAATAGAAAACATGTCTTCTATAAACCTTGAATCTTTAAGAAGAATCACTTACAAATATTATATTAAATTCTGCAAATTAATTAACCACATATGATTTATGCAAGGTTATTCGAGATATATTCGTCGCAAGTGTTTAAAAGCGATTGCTAAAGAAGATATCAATCAAAAAACGGTATTTTTTTTATTTTCTCAAAAAAATTTAAATACACCGTGAAAATTTTTAAAAATATGTTTGATTATTTTACAAAACCCTGTTAAAAATGTGAACAACACGTTGATGTACTATGTATTAACAGCCATTTCAAACTCTTAATATCGCACAGCACTCAAATAACCGTGACAAAATCATGTTGGTGTTGCTTCGACACAACAGGCACGAAATACTTGATTGGACGGATTTACCGTCGCCCTCGAGAACTAAGGCACAGAAAAATAAGTTGACTGAAGCAATAATGAAAGTACCACTCCTCGAGTTTGATAGAATACTCTTGGCTGGAGATTTCGGCACTCCAACTGTGAATCACAAAAAACAGGGTACAACTCCCACAGGTTGGTTCCAAGTGAGACTTGGTACAGCCATTAAAGGTTGAGGACTGATTGAGCATGTTTTCTACGCCATTAGATAGATTGAGCAAAGAAGTCCTCAGACTTGGATTTTTTGTTTAAAAATGGTCAACTCTTACAGGATGTAAGTGTACACATGCAGACAGGAAGCAACAACCGTAGCTCAGTAATTTTAAACACGGCCACAAACGAAATACTCAGGAGGGATGAAGGTGAGCTGCACCCTTGCTGTACTATGGAGAACTACAGAACTTTGAGAGAGCATCTGTACACACCATTGCCGTGAGTATGCTGGGGTCTGACAGTGGATTACCGCTAGTAAACAGTAAGAAACATAATCCAGAACGCTGTCCTATATAGTGTACCTCAGGCACACCACACACAGACAAAAAGAGGAACATAGGTCAAGCGAGGTATTGAAAGCTTGGTACGGGCCGTAAAGTGAGCCTGGCTGAATTGGAAGGCCTCTCAGAAGGATTCCGACCGTAATTCTTACTTGGCATTGGGAAATAAATGCAATGCCAATGTTCGAAACTGTAGGAGATGCTTTCGGATAAAGCAAGGAGCCAGAATATAGGCAAACCCAGAACAACTCTCTAGGTTCACGACTGAACGAAAACCTACATTTTGGGGTGATTACACTCTCAAAGGTCCAAATAACGAAGATCTCACCAACCTAGAGGTGGCTGAGAACTTTAATGCTAATTGTTCTGACAAATCGAACCAGCCACTTACAGGTTCGGAGTACTACTCAAACCTAATGACAGCTGATGTCCTAGGGAATATCCGACTTACTTCTGACTTAGTACTAAGAAAACTGGCCAGAATTTGCCAGTATTCGTCCTTTATTAGCTCTCAGTTCACTGGCATTTGACCTTTAGGCACTCATTGGAGTCACATTAACTACCAGCTGAATGGAACCTTGACTTCGCAAAAGCTTTCTACATTCTCACTCATGTACTCCGAACTTCGAACGTTGCGAAGGTGGTGTTCATTGATCCACCACAACTAAGGCTGAGAAACTACCATGAAAACAGAAGGCTTCGTACGAAGGTAAATAGACTGGATTCTGAGCAGGCGAGTAACAAAATCAACGGTTCCACAGAAGACCAACTTAGGTACACTCCTCGTCTTGGCGTTGACTATTCACTTGTTAGATAAAATAAGCTCTGCTGCACTAACGAACGCCGACTATTCAAAAATCTGAAGGCCCGTAAGAAGCTCAGAGGGTTCAACTGAACTTCAAAGAACCTGAAGGCAGTTGGTGAATGGGCAGTAGAAAAAGGGTTGAGACTTAGCCAGTCCAAATGTCATGTCATGGGCATCCCGACACACGCGATGAAAACAACTTACATGGAAGTCCTCTCCGTAATTTCTCCATAGAGTGCGATCTCAGTCTAATAACAACGGAAAGCCTGAACGTCATCTGAAAACATAGAGGAAGTGACCACAGTTCATTCACTGGATAGCCTCAAAGCAGACTTGATAAACAGCTACTGGCATAAGGATTATCATCTACTGCTTACCCCGGCGGTGCCATATATATGTTTCAAAACTTGCTAGTAGTTATCATGGTCATTTACTCAGATCACTTACTCATTCTATATAGCCTATTATCTCTTCTTACTCCTAATTGCTTACGCTTTGCACCTTCTTGCACCATCTCAATTAACAATGAACTTATTTATTGATTTACATGGTTACGCAATCTTCATCTCACGAGTACTAGAATTTTCTTCCTATTGTTCACTACAATGCAGCTAACTGACCCCCAGCATGGTAATGTGATAGATACAGGTATCATTGCACTCTCATACTCTGAGACAAAGGCATTCACACAAATCATGAGACATACGAATCCATAAATCATTGTCAGATGACTGGAATCAGTGCAGCCGAGTCGCTAGACTACTATCTGTTGTACACCACCAAATACCTGGAACTACACAGAAAGGACAAGAATCGAGCGCAAAGAAATCAATTAGTTTATACTAACTATTGAAAAAGATATCGAATAATGCCACTGGCAGTCCGCTCCCTAATGCCTCCTCAGAGCGCGATCGCAGTTGAATAACCAATGGAGGCCCACACACCATCTCGAAAGGACTCGGCCAAGGCGAATACAAGTTTTCTCCACCATCTCAGAATACAACTGTTCACTTTTTGCGAAGACAACTTGGAGCTATCACCACACAATTATTCTTGAAGCTGTCTCAGACATATGCGCACCCACACCTTGAGTTTCACAACGTCGTCGCACCCCTCCTCCTTGAAAGAGACATAAATCTCTTGGATCGAGTGCAGAGACAAGTAACCAAATGGGTGATAGGGTTGAAAATTAAAACTTAGACAGACCCCAGCATTTGGGATTATTCCCCCCAAACTACAGGAGAATCATAGGTGATATGATTATGGCGTAAAATTGCACATCAAAGAGTGAGAAGCCAGATTCCCGCAGCCGAGATGACCTCAATGGACAGCTTTAAGAGGAGACTTGATAAACATGTATTCACATACGGATTATCATCTCCATCGTAGACAAGCTGTGCCTGATGCATGTCTTGAGACTTGCTAACCGTTATTATTTTCATCTCCTCAGATCACCAACTGAATCCATCTCGCCTATTATCTCTGTTTTCTCTCCCTTGCTTACACTTAATCCTCGCCCACAATCTTCACTACCAATTAATAAACTAAATTATCCATTATTTACTTAGACCTGAAGTCTTATCAGCATTAAAATTTTCTCTTTATTATTCTCCACACTGCAACTAACTGATCTCCGGTCTGTTAATGTTATAGATATTGGTGTCCAGAAACCCTACTACCCTGAAAAAAACATATTCATTCAAATAACGGGACATACAAACTCACAACTGCAAACTGACTAGAATTCGGCAGTCGAGTGGCTAGACCCCCATTCATTGGACACCACTGAACACCTGGAACCGTACGGGAAGAACAAGAATCGAACGTGAGGTATTCAATTGGTGTACACCAGCTCGTGAAAAAGATATGCGATATATTGGATATTGAAGTTGACCTCCTTTTGACATCCAACCTTGACGGCTTTTTAATATTCTGAAAAATGAGTCTTTGGGTTGACAAGTATACTCCTACTTCTTTAGGAAAGTTAGATTACCACAAAAAGCAAGCTAATAGTTTGAAAAAATTAGTAAGTGATGGTTATTTTAATGACATGGTACACAATTTTAGGTTGACAGCAACAATTTTCCCCACTTGCTCGTTTATGGACCATCTGGTGCAGGGAAACGAACAAGAATTATGTGTATTCTTCGTGAGCTGTATGGATCAGGAGTTGATAGACTTAGAATGGAGCACCATACCTTCACAAATCCATCTAACAAGAAAATCAACCTGTCCACTGTCTCGAGTAACTTTCATTTGGAAGTAAATCCTAGGTACAAATGTTTATAAACTTTACCGTTTCTAATTTTTGGCAAAGTAAAGTTTAAAGTCTTGTAGCTTCTCAATTATTTCTAGTGCCTAGTTACTACATAGTGTTATGTATTCACAAGCATCACCCTAAATCTCACCCTAAAACTACTGGTTTTGCGCTTCATTCCGAATGATAGTTAACAATTTCCGAAAGTTTTGTATCACTCACTGTTATATACCGTTCAAACAAATCATCACCTAATATAATAATACATCATTTTTGATGAACCCTTCTCACATTGACAAGTTACCAGTTTAGTCTTACTTCTCGAGTTTTGGAGATTTTACATCAAAAATCGGAATCCAGATAACGTTAATTCGTAAAATTGAGTTTGGGAGGATTTAAAAGCCTATGACCGAACAGAAGACAAAGCGGATACATCCGAGCTATTGCGATCAATTTTGAGTCATGTTACCCGAAATCTCTAACAATTGGCTGTGATTATCATGGTTAGGGACTTTATATGACAACCAAAAGTGCAGTTCAGCAAACATAAAAGACATTTTAATTTCCTACGTTACAGGTAATAGCCACCACGACCAACACTTGCTGCCTGTAAACCAGCCAAGACGTCTGATTAAGTCACTGACTGCAGCGGTAGCTATAGCTCTGTTGGTCTAAATGTTTATGCCCCACACAAACCGATGGATTTGTGTTTGGGCTTAGGACATTTTGGGTGCTTAAACTGAAACAGGTGGTTTTCTTAGGGAGTTACTCCCCGATTCTTTACTTACAGGTCTAATCTGCCAGAAAGTGGAGCAACGTTGGGAGGTGCTGTTCCATGGTGACCAACAGTACATTCATATGCCATTCAATCCCTCAGGTTCTAGGAGCCCATGTGAATCATCGGTTTGTAATTAGGACTTCCCAATTGCACTAGATGAGTCCTTCGTACTTACCGACCCGATTTAATCATCGGGCATTCTCTTTTCGTCTTCTCGATTTCTGAAGAAAACATTTACGTTACGAGAGGGCAGTGAGTAGGACATCCGTGACGGTAGCTGTATACGCGTGGCCATAGAGCATTTTGATAGACAGTGCGGACCCTCCCCACTCAGTCGTATCAGGACATTTGGGGTAGCTGAAAGTATTTCATTAGATCTAAACGGTCACTTTTCAGTCAGTCAGTCAGTTGCAACGTAGAACTTCGTACGTAAGTACATCAGTTCATGTTGCCATACCACTTAGCACAAAGACGCGATTGTCAATTCAAATCCCTTAGTGGTAGAGACAGTAGAAGAATTACTGCTAATGGAGAAGATTAGGATTTGAAGATAATATTCATGAAGTATAATTCAGTGAGATAAATTTAAAAAGAGAAAGATAGGGTGTTGACGAATCCAGAAGATTAGCATTTGAGAGAACACAAAGAGTGGATGCACTTGCGCCATTGCAAACGATTTTGAGCCACGTCATTAAAGGTCTCTAACCATCGGTAACTTTCGTCTCGCGGACCCCAACCAGTTAGCCTACATCTACCAACATAACTCAGTCCACTTGTCAGTGACTTCATGTTTTGGTTTGGCCGCCCCCAGTTTTCTCCCAACCTACTCCTACACCACAAAACAGCTCATCGAGGCAGTCGGTGTTGGGCATTCGGAACACATGTCCCAACCACCTCAACTGATGAAGTTTCACCACTTCATCTATTGATCTGCCATCGTTACCTAGTACTCGTTTTCTAACGACAGCATTGCTTATACGGTTGTCCCACGATACACGAGCAATGCTTCTAAGACATCTATAATCAAGCACTAATAACCTACGAATGTCCTCTACTTTTATCGGCCATGTTTCGCATCCATATAGTAGAACAGAGTGAACTGCTGCGCATTAGATTTGTCCGTTGGTTAGCAAACGGATATCTCGCCTACGCCATTAAAGACTCAGGTTGGAAAAAGCCAATCGAGCTTTCTGTATTCGCGCTGAGATTGCGACCAGTTGGATGGGTTTACGTTCAGTTCCTAGATTCTACTTAAGATCTCAGTCAATCTTGCTGCTAAAGCTGAACTACCATCCTTAAAAATCTCAGGAGTTAGCCCATCAGGATTTGCTGCTCTACCTCGCTTTAGATTTCCTAAAGCTTTCTCAACTTCATAAAAACTAGGAGGACTTATATCGATTTGCCCCTCAGGATGACTGGAGATTGTGGGCAACGGAAGTGTGGCTGAAGACCATTTGAACTGGTCCCTAAAGTGTTCTGCCCATCGATCCAATCTCCTGGATTCAGAATGTGTGATCTGGCTATCCTTTTCTGCGATAGTTTCGCTAAGAGATGGATTTCTAATACCAGTTTCTTTTAAGGCGGAAAAGTTGTCTACTGTTGCCTATCACAACTGCCTTTTTCATCGCTTTTGCTTTCGCCACTCACCACTGTTCGCGGTCGTTGCCTAGGCTTTTTATCAGTCTGCGCTTAAGCTGACTTCGCTCTTCATCATATTCAGATCCAGGTGGGATAAGTTTCCGAGCATCCATCAGTTCTGTAGATGCTACTGAGATCCACGGCTTCTTCCTAGCCTTATGGTTTACCTTATCGCTGCTGTTTCCACAGCTTTTTGGATACCATTCGAAGCTGCCTCCGGATGTGGATCACCTAAATGGTCGCCTAACTGTTTTTCTAGCTGTTCCTGAAACATATTCATAGCTCTGCTGTCATTAGGTAAAACCCTAACAAGTTTCCTTGCAGTGTCTTTCTTACATCTGGTAAGTCGCAAACAAATACGCGTTCGCACTAGGGCACGATCTGAATATAAATATGTACCCCAGAACGAGCGACAGTCCTCTGTCGAATTTTTCCGTCGGTGGCTGATGGCGATGCGATCTAGTTGGGTCCAACGTTGAGACGACTTCGAGGGTCGCCAGGTCAAAAGGTGCTTTTCCTTATCCCTAAGTTTGTGTTTGCTAGAAATAGGCAGTTATCTGAGCATACTTGCAACAGACGGTCGCCATTGTCTGTTCTCTGAGCCGCGACACCATAAAACCCACCTAGGTGTCTTTCATTTTCACTTAGCCTACCTAATTGAGCATTAACGTCACCAGCCATTATTACTAAATCAGAGCGCCTAACTTTTTGGAAGAGGTCCGAAAGCTTTCTGTAAAACTCATCTTTCACATCGTCTGAACTGCAGTCAGTGGGGACATAGGCAGATACGACGAACAGGCAACGACGGGTGTCCCTATCTTTCCCAGTCCTTACTGTCGCGTTTAGTCGGACAGCGCACAAGCGACTATCTACTGGGATCCAGTCTGGGAGCGCTAGTTCTGCCCTACGACTCAATGCTATACATACACCAGCGAGAAGTAGAATCAGGGCTACCGAATACACGAAGAGTAAATTGGACTGCTTCTTTGTTTTGATAAGGTGAAATCAAATTAATGATTTCCCTAGGATCCTGTATGCGCGTTTCCGAAACTGAGCATACATTGATGGCGCGAGATTCTAAAGTCCTAGTTAATGAAGCCTGTTGCCCTATTTGACACAATGTCTCGACATTAAATGCTCCAACATGTAGTCTAGAGCAGGGTTTCAGGAGACCAGGAATAACGTTTTGGGAAGTCGAATCGTTTGAAGCAGAGGTGCGGGGTGATAAAGGAATGTGAGAAGAGTTAGTCGTGAAGATAAGGGGGATGTTGGGGGGTGTAGTAAGGATTTGATTATGACCAATTTGATCTCGTGTGCTGTTACAGGTATGAGGGCGGTTGTCACGTTCGCGCACGGCCTTTTTATGGAAGGATTTTTTAGTTTTAGCTCCGCTCTTAAAAGCCCTTAGTGGGCACCCATACCGACGGAGACGGACATCCGTGAGGTAGGGTGAGGTGTGACATTTTAAGGGTCGACCTATTCTAACCCCTCCTTCCTTGTCAGAAGGCAGAATCTTTGCGGATGCTGGTTGTTCGAGGGAAACACCTTACTGCTGCCACACCCCTCTGCAGTCGGTAGTACGACTTCGCCCTCAGACCTTGAGTAGCTGCTTTTAGTCTCATCGTTCTCCAATGGACCTGCCTGGCATGGTTGAACCTTCAGGAACATATGTTCTAGCCAATATAGCTCGATTGGGTCATCACGATAGGCAAGCCCGAACACCACGTCAAGGTAGCAGCTAGGGTCGGGAACAGTCACTCCTAGTATCCATTGATCGAATTTTATTTTAAAAAAAGCTGTCACACCCTTGCTCACGACTGACTCACTGTTCCCTTATCTCATACCATTGATAATCAACTTCAGTAACACAATTACCTGTAGTTATGTATGAGTCTATGACAGCTGAAGGTCGATTGCGGTGATACAAATGGGTTCATCCCTTGTCACATAGATTTTAATTTTCCCTATTATCAAACATTCCTAATGTTCTGATTATGTTAATTCTTGCTAACAATATGTTGTTTAGTTTTCCGCTACCATTTTATATTTATGACTTCCTAGCTTTTCATTTTGTTGCTTTCCTTTTGCTTTGTTGTGTATTTTGTAAATGGGACTGTTGCACATTTAAGCTGGGGTCTATTTTGGTTAGATTAGGATATGCACGCACTATGATAACTTTCAAAAATTACGTAAACAGTTACCTTTAGACCCCACCTTGCTAATAAAATAAGGGTTTCATTTTTAATAGAATGTTAACCACTAACTCCGAATATTTATCTATTACAATTTTAATCAGTTACTTGCCTTCTTGATATTGATATTTTGTGAACGCTTAAAAATTATCATGATAAATTATGAAACGAGACTCAAAGCGGAACTACTTTTGTGTCAAGTTATTTAGCTCTTTTTGTTGTTATTATCGTTATTATTCAGTACGTCTATATCTTCACGACCATATGTATTTAGTTTGGTGGATGTGTTGACGCTCCTCAATCGTATTGTAGTTCTGTAAGTAGCAAATAATACTGTATTACCCATCTAAGTGGTTTTATAGAGTCGTCACAAACTTATCAGTCCTTGGTAGTGATTTTTGAAAAAGTGAAATTTATTAGTTGACTTAAAAGTCACAGATCCTCAAGTATCTGACCTGTTAACTTAGTAATGAATCACATTTTGCTCATTATAGTTTGTATTTCTTCTCAATAACCCATATATGTTGTTTATTTTCATGTTAGTGATGTTGGAATTTATGATCGTATTGTCATTCAAGAGTTAATTAAAAGCATGGCATCAACAGCTCAGCTTGATAGTGGGCAGCAAAAAGATTTCAAAGTAGTAGTTCTGCACGAAGCAGACCATTTAACACGTGAAGCACAGCATGCTTTACGTAGAACTATGGAGAAGTACATAGCCACTTGCCGTCTAATATTGTCGGCAGAATCTACCAGTAAGGTCAGTTCTGATTGTATACTCTCTCTTTCATTCTATTATTTGATCTTTTGTTCTTAGTATATTCGGTTATGTTATTCCACAAATCAGTTCAGCAAAAGCTGTGTTTGATGAACATCATCCATACCTGATACAAAACTAAGGATTAGCAACTATTACTTGACTATTCATAAGTGACGGCGAATGTACAAATTTGTAGTCTGCACATCATGTAACAGATAATGCCTGGCTTCTGACTAGATTGGTAAGTTGAAGTCCAGTTGGGAACTAAGTCCGATATCATGACTCCAGTAGAATCAAGTGCATTTCGGAAATAACATGGAAAATACATACATGCTATTCATGTTTTAAATTTTTCTGTCAGTCAGTCAGCTACAACGTAGAACTTCGTACGTATGTACATCATTACAAGCTGCAAATTAACACAGAGATCGAATCGTCAATTCATATCTCGTGGTAGTAGAGGTACTAGAAGTATTAGGCGTAATAAAAAAAATTAGTGGTTGAAGATATCACTGGTGAAGTATATCCCAGAAAAATTGATTTAAAAAAAGGAGAGAGAGGAAAAAAGTCATGAGGAATTCAGAAGTTTAGAATTTGAGATATGCCGAAAAATGGGTGCACCTGTGAAATTGTAAACTATTTTGAGCCATGTCATTCAAGGTCTCTAACCATCGTTTACTAGCACCTTGTGGACCCCAATCAGGTAATCTGCATCTACCAACATGACTCCGTCCAGCTGTCAGTGACTTCATGGATTTATACAATGCTTTGGTCCTGCTTGCGAAAACCAAGCAATGCTTCCAAGACATCTGCAATCGAATACTAACAACCTACGAATATCCCTGCTTCTTACCGGCCATGTTTCGTATCCATATAGGAGAATGGAGCGAACTGCTGCGCAGTAGACTCATCCCTCGGTTATAAAAACGGATATTTCGCCTACGCCATAAGTAACACAAGATGGCAAAAACCAATCGAGCCTTCTATATCCGCGCTAAGACGAGGTAAAAGGCGAATTTTACAGAAAAATTTCGGACCTCCTTCAAAACGTCAGGCACTGGGATGTAGTAATCGTGGCGGGTGACCTTAAGGCTGAAGTAGACTACGCGGAAACGAAAGACACCTGGAACACAGACACACATATAGGCGCCCGACAATAGTTGTCTTCCTGGACCTATAGGCAGTATTCGACTCTGTCGATCGTGATGTCTCATAGCAGTGTCTCTCATTGAAAGGTATACCAAAGTACATTAGACTTATACATGCTCTCTACTAGAACACTACTGGGTGGGTTGGAGCTTATGGCGAACTGTCATCGGAATTCATTACTTCCAGTGGTGTCCGTCAGGGATGTCCACCTTCTCCATTCTTGTTTAACTTTGTCATTGACATGTTTTTAATAATAACATTATCTTCATCTGACTTCTCAGGAGTGAAACTTCTACCAGGAGACTCGCTTGTTGACTTAGAATATGCCGATGACAGTTCTGTTTGGGGAAGACGCTGAAAAAATGCAGTCTTCCGAATACCCTAAGCAACAATGCAAGCATGTTCGCGATGTGGTTTACCCCCTCGAAATGCTAAATAAGGCTTCATTCTTGGCTTGAGTCGGTATTTGTACTAGTGATAGTGAGTGGAGCAGTTGAGCGTGTTGACCGCCTCACTTATTTCGAGAGTCTCGTCAGTCCTGATGGCCTGGATGGAGTCATGTTGGTAGATGCAGATTACCTGATTGGGGTCCACAAGGTGCTAGTAAACGATGGTTAGAGACCTTGAATGACATGGCTCAATATAGTTCATAATTTCACAGGTGCACCCATTTTTCGGCATATCTCAAATTCTAAACTTCTGAATTTGTTATCATCGTTATCTTTTTCTGTCGAAATTCATTTCGCGTAATTATACTTCTTGAAAAATTTCTTCGAACCGTAATCTTCTCCGTTACCGTTAACACTTTTGCTAATCTTTACCATTTTGGGATTTGAACAGATTATTGCGTCTATGTGTTAATGTGGTTTGGCAACCTGAGCTTATTCACGTATGTACGAAGTTCTACGTTGTAACTAACCGAACAACAATCACCACATTTTTCATTGTAATAAATAAAATCTGATTGAAAAAAGTAATCGACCAGAGTTAGGCAGACAAGGCTAGTAAATTGCACTTAATTTTTATGGGATAATTCTAAGTTAATGTTGTTGTATTATTGAAATCTATCCCATGTCATTGTCTTCCTTATTCAATGGTTTGCTCCATTCAGTTGATAAATCCTCAGTTAAATTTAGTAGATAAGACATTTCAAAATATTTTAGTAACCAGTTTAAAACTAAGGATACTTAGTTTGACTATCTACTTTGAAACGTCTTATAGTTCTATATGTTTATTTATAATTAAGTATTCTCTAGTTTATAAAATTGAAAATTGGCAAAGTATCTTCACATGAAGTGTTGTGTTTTGTAGACGAATCTATCACTTGAACCAGTGACGCATAATGTTTGTATAACACTGGTGATTCTTTGTTTATTCACTGTAATGAAGAGATCGAAAGCAATACTTTTGGTCAACATCGCTAGTTCATTTTTCTGGGGGTTCATTGGATAGTTTAGCTTCTATTTTGCAATTAGTTAGTTTATGGTTTTGTACTTGGAAAGTAAGTCCTTTGTACAATTACTAAAGTATTAGTTGTTTTCTGTTTCTGTTTCCTTCAGTGTCTCGATTATATAGCAACTGTACTTGTAAAGTTTATCATTTAATAGGCAACCTATCATTTGGTTATTTTTTTCCAGATCATTTCTGCTACTCGTTCAAGATGTCTACCAATAAGAGTTTCTGCCCCATCTGTTGATGAAATTGTTGAAATCTTGAAGAATACTGCTCGCCGAGAAGGTCATTCAATGCCTGCCGAACTAGCGAAACGTATAGCAGTAGCATCTGAACGAAATTTACGTAGAGCTCTTCTATATGCTGAGGTAGCTAGGTGGCAGCATTCCCCTATGCTTCCAGACCAGAGTGTGCAGTTACCTGATTGGCAAAACTTTCTTACTGAGACGGCATCAGCCATTTTGGCGGAACAAAGCCCCAAAAAGTTAGTATTCTCTCTTTAAATGTACAATATCACTGCCATCAATTTGCTAAGACGCTTGTCACAAACTCCTCGCAACGGAAGGAACGGGTTAGAAAAGGTTGACCCTAAAAATGTCACACCTCACGCTACCTCATGGATATCCGTCTCCGGAGGTTAAGGCCACTTGAAGAGCGGAGCTAGCACTCTACAAAATTCCCATAGAAAAGCCGTATGTGAACGGCCTCAAGTAGTTGTCCTTTGGGCTCTGAAGTCACGCTCCAAGGTCGTTTGAGAACAACAGTGATCCAATTTATTTTTCAGGTTTCTCAAGAGAAACCCTTCCACGCTTTGGGCAGCCCGGAAGTGACATGCGCCCTCGTACTCGTAACAGCACAAGAAACTAAATTAGTCACAATCAAACTACTACGTCTACCAACATGGTATTTGAATTGACTGTCATATTTCTGTGCTAATGTGGTATGGCAACTTGAACTGATGTACGTAGATATGAAGTTCTACGTTGTAGCTGACTGACTAAACGGGAGTTTTCGCTTTAGTGAAATATTTTATTTTTTAAATACCGTACTACCTAGTGCTCATGTAATAAGCTATTATACTCTGTATTATATATTATTAGCTAAAATTTCTTATATATTTCTCTTTGTAGGATACTAGAAGTTCGCAATCGTCTTTATGAATTGTTATGTCACTGTATTCCGCCGAACATTATAATGCAAGTAAGTCCCTGTTAACCCAAAATGATATGTTCTTGAGTTTGTTAATCAAACAGAACTTGCTTAAGATTCGGGTATTTGAAGGTTCTTCCTACCACGCCTTCTGAAGTATCGAACTAATAATTCAAATACATCTTTATGCCTATTTAGAATTGATCTTCACCTATATGCCCTTTACTTTGGATTTTGTGCAGATACACATTTATCAAAACCAAGGTTGATTCGTATTTGTGTTCTGGGATAATTCGTTAGATAATAAACATAACTACTTGGTCTTACAGTCTACTTTAAATCACTGTGGTATAAAACTTTAACTATTGGTGTGTTTATAAGGATAGTAGATGTCGTAAAACACCATAAATTTAGAATTATTAGTGGGATTAGTGGCTACTGAAATTCATTTAAGTAGTAAATTTTTACGCGCAAACTATTTATGCTTTGCTTGTCAGTGAATTCATATTGTTTGAGATTGTAACATGTGAGGTGTGAAGTATAATTTACAGAATGTTATTTTAAATGACAACTGTAATTAGATACCCTTAAATGGATAAAAAATTATATATAACCGGATTTCAATACAAAATAAATGGATTAGTATGATGTTAGAAAAAAATGGTAACGGGTTATCATCAGCAGTCGAGTTATCTTATCTTCAGTGTCTACACAAAAATTAAACTAAACAAGAAATTTCGCATCATTTGAACCATTGATTTTAAATGTCTCACGAACTTCCAAAAGTATCTGTTGTTTCCTTCATATTTAAACTAGATGGTTAGAACTTTCAGGAATTTGCTTTATGTGATGGTTTAATTATGTATTTTATTTATGAAGTTGAGGTATAAACTGTACTCGGTTTTAGATTGTGTCGTTTACATGAATCGTATTAATACTATTTAGCCGCATAAACAAAAGTGCGTGAAGTTGATTTCGAACCTACGATCACCTATTGGTTGAAATTTGATTTAACTACTAAACCCTTGCTCCACATATAGTTTTTGTATTTTCCTGTAGTGTTTCCTTGTTCTCTCATGCACTTTATTCGGTCATTGGTGTGACAAAGATGGCATAACTTTTCTTTTTATCTCGCTTATGATTATTGAAAGGTTCTACCAATGTTAGACGTCTATTACTTTAATAAACTCGTATTGTACTCTACTACTTTTGTCAAATGGTTAACTATTTAATAGGCTATTAACTATGCCAAATGATAACGTTTGTAGATTGGCACAATCATTGAAGTTTATTGACTGTTGTTGAATGGTTAAATATGTGATCTATTAAATGGATTTTCTCAGACATGTTCTTTTGCTAATTGCTAATATAAGCTATTTTGTTAAATAATTGGACTACTTTGTTTTATTATATTGATATCTTGATTTATATGCACATTGCTTGAGTAGTAATAAAGTAAGCCAACTAGTCAATGAATTGATAGTTGTTTTATTTTTCCTCTCTAGACAATAATGTTGTTTCTTTTCAAGAACATAGACTTTTAGCTAAAAGTCTCTCCTATCATTTTGTTGATACATATTTATAAATTTAAGAACTACTAATTTAGATCAAATAGTATGTTGGCGTAATCGATGAAATCAGTATGAAACGTATGCTAAATAAACTGATGGAGATTTTGATAAAACTAATTGATCAGTGATAAATGTGGTTTATTTCCTACTCTTGTATTTTTATATTTGCATTCTTTTTCTTAATTTAGGACTATTATTATTCATAGATTTCAAGGAAGATAGACATGAGCTTGTTCTTCACCACATATAATGAGTAAGAAGTAATTTAGGGAAAGAACTTGTAAGAACTAAATATGTTACATTAGAGTGCTTTGAGCACTTAAATATCTATTATCTGGTCGGTATTTCAAAACCCACTTTGTGTATATTAATTTCAGCAACTAAATAATGCTACTGCCAGTCCTCTCTTTCATACAAGATAAACATACATAGTAATGGTGTAATGTAATATACAATAATTTATATGATTTATTATCGATTCACTTCTACGAGTAAAAACTAATTCGTACATTTTTTTTTTCATTTTCTGGTTCGTCAGGGTCTAGTTAACAATTTACTCAATTCATGTGATGGTAGTTTAAAACTGGAATTGGTCCAATTAGGCGCAGAATATGAACACCGATTGAATTTAGGCCAAAAACCAATTTTTCATTTGGAAGCATTTGTAATTGCATTTATGGCGATTTACAAACGATATATTGAAGATACTTTGGGCTCCGGAATGGAATGGTGAAACTAACATAAAGCAAATATTCAATTCTTCAGATGTATCATGTATATTTATATAGAGTTATGTTGTGAAATAAAAGTTTCATATGTAAATATTGCTTAATTGAGTGACAGGTTGAATTATTATACATGGATATTCTAGTTTGTATATTAGAGTTATATATTATTCTTTTAGTTGGAAATAGAGCAAACAGGTGTTAGGTTATTGAGTTCCACTTGATTGTAGTAGTAGAGATGAGCACAGGTTCCTGTTACAGTTGTAAAATAAAATTGTGCTGACTAATTAATTGTATGATGATAACTCCAAATGTTGTTATATATACATATATATATACTATGACGCTGGGTCGGTGATCCGTCCTTTCTTGACATTCACGAAAAGTAATTTTAAACCACATCTAACAACCGGTTTCTAAAGTCAGTGGTTATAGGCCTTAAAGGCTAACTTATGTATTCATTTTACTTCCGAGCTCCTGATTAGTTTTAAACAGTTTTAGTTATACAATTAATTACGAACCAGATAATGCGCTTCAATCGTTAGGTTCTAAAATCAAGTTTCTAAGAGTTGGATTTTGTAACGAGTTTCAATTAATTATTAAATGGGGATTAAGAATAATGATAACACACAAGTAAGTGAAACAGTCGAGCTACAACAAAATTAGTTCATAGAACAATAAAACTAAGCATTTATAAATGATTATCACATCATAAGAAGATGAACCTACTTGCTTATTTTGGATTTACACATTTCGATCAAAATGTTATTTATGATAACGAACAATCGTAACAGAAACAAATTTAGCAGTGGTTGTGTCTACTGTTGTAAAAGATATAAGAACGTTGAGTCTTGTATACTGTCACGTGTTTCGTAAGTTTCCTTGTAATGATTTTTGGATATAAATGATGGAAATTTATTTGTATACTTAAGCCCGCCATTTTGTGTACATCAGAAATTAAAACTGGCGGTAAGATTAAACCTAGTAACTTGAATTGTTTTTTAATGAACAGATCATAGTATCTATTGAGATTACTTTGTTTAAATAGATATTTCCTCCGAATGGGCCTTTAATATAACTTAGTTAGTTTTCGGTGGAATCTTTTTTTGTTAAAATGATAAAATTCCTATCTGGATATCATCATTTTATGGAGCTTAGAATCTGTCGTTCATGCCTGTGTTCTAATAATGATAATAATGAGACTTGTCAAGTCTACTGAATGTGATGATTAGTGATTGTAAAAAAATGACGGGTTGGTACTCTTGATTATTGATTGCACTTTTCTTCGTAACTGTCTGAAATATTATTGTCAAGTAATTTTTTACCAATGATAAGACGTCAATAGTAATTCTACGATAGGTGTACGACAGCTTTGTCTCGAGAAATACAACTTTAGGAAATCTTTCGCAAATTACTTTAAATGTTTATTTTATGTACATATAATTGTTTCAGTGAGTAAACAGTTTACCTGCTAATAATTCTCAAGGAAAGCATAAAACTCAATAGAACTATAAATTTTCATTATTGGAATTGAAATTTATATCTAACGCTCTGAATAATGTAGTACTATTTCTGCCATTCAGAATCAAATTCTAACGGTTTAATAACTTGTTCGGTGATCTGTTTTTCTACAGTCTCGCTACAAAACTGAACTTTAAACAAAAAAAATCTGATATTTGCACGATGCAATGATGAAGACAAATAGTGGGCAAAGACTGTATAGAATTATCGAAAAACTTCTAACTCAAATACTAATATGTAATGATTGGTCAAGGAATATCGTGGACAACTGAAATAGTGGAAATATAAATACACTGAATAAATACAACCAAAGTTTGAATGTCATACTGAACCAGTATCACGCTTAAATAAAATGAACGCCATAGTGAACAGATATCACAATGAATTAGAACGACAGTTATGTTGAATTAAAACACGATCTTGTGTTCTATTCCCTCTAAAGTGCTTTTAAATGTTACATCATCATCTCGATGCTGTACACAAGATAACTAGCAGAACATAGAACCGAAATAGTGGATAGATGAGAAAATGAGTAAAAACAAACTAGATTGTACGAAACAGAAAGTTTTTCTTTTTATTATTATTATTATCGTTCGTTTTTTCTTCTACTCATCAAACTAAATTTTGTTTACGTGATTAAACACTCGTGTGAGATATTCACCGTAAACCACTCATATATATATATATATATATATATATATATATATATATATATATATATATATATATATATATATATATATATAATTACACACATACATACACATAGAAGTATGTCTCGAAAGTTGATTACAATTTCATTACTATGTACGTTTCAATCATAGAGATGAACTAATTTCACCCTTCTTTTTTATTTCTCTTTCGTTATAACATCTTACTTACATAAATGCATATGCATTGAAAATATGCGTGTTTCCGAGTTTTAGTTATATAGAAAAAATTCATTAGAGTTTATTTTGATTATATTTGTCAATTTGTAGTTATTCTTAAACAATTTGACTGCCGTTCGCTTGTTCACTGTATATATACACACGTATAAATACATACACACGCATATATATATATATACATTAGTTGTAGTATGACATGACAAACTCTGGAATTCTCTTATTTATTTTTTTTCTTTTGAAGAAGATTCCATACGCAGTAATCAAATAATAACAATGTCAATTTTTTTTTATAGCTACACTACTTATATACATTTGATTGCACAAATAAGAGCTTTCTGGTTAAAGAATTACTTATTTGTTACCCGAATTGATCATCATCTCCATCCATTCGTTTTCATTTTCATCATGATGGTGATGATGATTGAGGTGAACGGACTGAGATACTTTTTTTTTGTTCGATGTATATTATATTTTTACTGTTAAAAATGATTTCCTTGTTTTACTATCATGGTTAAATTTGATTGGACATATTAAGATTTTGTTTTATTTGAACATATATATTTATATATACATAAACTTATATTTCACTAGAGACTCAATAATAATAATAATAATAATAATAATAATACTTTACATCTAAAATAAAAAGAAGCCATAGCAAAAAAAAACTGTCTTCTAAATAATTTAATCAAGTGAAATTTTCTTCATTTATTTAATTTATTCAATTGTTCATTCATTTGCAATAAATTAAGACTGAACTTAACAACATCATAGAGGAAAACAACAACAACATAAAAGTGATAATGAAAAGAATTTATGGACATATTTGTGAACAGAGTTAACTAAATAATTGAGAGAAAAAAATAAGGCTTTATATATATTTATATATTTATAAAGTGTTCATTCTTCAGACATTCGTAAGTAAGTAAATAAATAAAAGAAAAATAGACAATTAATGATTTTGAAGTGGATTAACCTTGATAACAAACCAGTTCTAATGCATATCTTATCAAATTTCGATCTGGTGAAGATTTTGTCTAAAGTGCATGCTGCATTGAATATTGATTAGTTTTTATATGTGTAATTTTTTTCGTATTTCAATATTTCAGCCTTTATCTTGTTCACTGAATAATTAAATCAATAAATGACTGAATACTTGAACTTTTCTCAATATAACATTTTAATAATTTGAAAATAATTCCTATCGTTAACTAAGATTAAGTAGAGAGAACCATTAAAATCTGTATTGAACAGATGTTTTGTTTCTTCTGAATTTGACAATCTTCAGTATGATACTTATACAACGTATTGTGTGATTGAAACAAATCGAACTGAACAGAAAACTTTCATATCATTAAGTTGGAGTAAAGTAGTACCCATTTCTAACCTTATTTATTTTTAGAATAATAAATCATAAAATTTTAGCTACTAATGACAGTTTGAACGCAATCGTTATTGACTCACATTTAAAATTCATTTATCAATAGAGGCTACTTTATCTAGATTTAACGTACCTTGCAGATGATATTGTTTACATTAATTGTTAAAATGTTTTATTGTTGGGTAAATATTGAACTACTGAAGCAGTTTTCTGAATTATGTATTATCAAATTAAGCACTGTGGAACTGCAGTAGGTATGTTATAATTGTGATTTATTCGTCTATTTTGCAAAGAATTTTAGTGAGTAAGCATGTACATGTCATTTCGTAACGTACCAAATCGAATTTTTGTTATGCCCGTTATTTGATATGCTTGAAACTATTACGAGTTCGCCTTAGTCGGTAAACGAGAACGAGACAATGAACCAGTGACACGATAGGCTACTCTGATCCGTTGCCTCAACTAACTGAAGAAAAAGTCTTGATATAGCGTAGAAAGCCTATTCTACAAACACCCAGCAAATACAATGATCTCAAGCACACAAATTGCGTTTATTTATACATCATAGAAACTTCCTTGTGAGAGTCACAAAAACAGCGTACTAAAATAACACATCAATCAATCACAGCCAAGGATCTTCCTGGTGAGAAATGTGATCTCAGGGTCAACTGATCAGCCCAAAATTAAAATCTTTATCAAGTGAGTTCTGGGGATCTAACGTCCCCAACAATTTTGAAGTCGAGAGCCAAGTTCAATAGAAAAACATGATAAACCATACATACTGACTAAGAGTTTTTCCAGAAGCTGTAAGGTTCAACAGTAGAAAGTTAAACAACGCAGTGGAAAATGACGTAAACATTCATTTTAGTTAAATTTCTCTGTTATTTGTTTATTTATAAACAAGGATAAGTTATGGTAATATTATTTGTAATGCTAGAATTTTCACTATTGTTTTATTATCTTCTTCCACAATTGTTAAAAGGTATTTCTTGTGCATCAAATTAATCTACAAACTATATTAACTACTGATAATAGACAAATACATATAAAATGCCGACCGTTTATAGCCTCAGGCATCAAATTCACTTTGTAGAAGTAATAATATTAGTTCAGATTGGTTGAGCGTTAGTCAACTGAAGGGATGTGTCAGACAGAAATTTGTTAGTTTAATCAAGGACAACATTAGTTTATTTTTGATGCAGTGAACTTATTAAGTGATTCATGTATATTACATTTTATCCCGATCCTGAATCAAATATCACAAATGCACCTCAATATAGTATGAAAAATATTAGAATTTTCTTTGCTACAGTATGCATTCAATTTAATTTATCATACATCTAAACAAACTTCAAGGTGATATCTGAACCTGATAGGTGATTTCCTTCTACAAAACGTAGCAGTCATTGTAACGTAATTACAATTTCCAATTGTTGTTTATCATCAACGGTATTCTTTATGTCTGTATTTCTACTTTGGCATTCAAATTGATTAAGTTAAACTTTGCCATAGTTTATGGGTAGGTATGTGGTTATTTTAAAATCCCACACTTTATTGTTTGAAAAATTAAACATTGATCAGATTTCAATTTCTAAATAAAAGGTTGCTTACGATGCGCTTTATTCATGATCTTTTGCACTGAAACATGTTACCCATCATCAAAGATAATTTGGAAGTAGGAAGCAAGAAATTATTTTCATTTATATCTGTTTATGTTAAAAGTTTTGTGAGGCTGACTCATTCTCTTCGATGCACCATATTAATCGTTTTCATTAGTTGATAATCATTAAGGTCACACATTACTGAATGAAACCCAATAAGTTTGTTGTTCTTGTTGTTTCTAAATAAATCTACTATTTCCTACTAAAACACTGAGTCAATGTTATCGAGCTATGATCCATCAGGATATTGGTTCTGTAAAAATTTGTTCTATGATCCAGCTGAAATTTTCTTCTTGGTGAAAATCACCTTTTATTTCATTAGATAATTTCCATTCCAAGTGTTTTAATGCAAAATTTCACCTAGTTTAACTAGTTAAGGCGGAATCAACAAGGTCAATCTTGTAAATCAGCTACTTAATTGCTTATATCAGTTCAGTGGTTCATACTCTTGTATCTACTAGTTAGTCACTGAGTAATAACTAGTGTTATTCTTGTTTAGTCTATTGTGCTGATAGAACTCTATCGATAATATCACATTATGGTCGGATTACTTGCAATACACTTGATTGAAGAGTGATTGAGTTCCACTCACAAGCAGCACAATGTTCCTCAAAACTAGTAAGATGTTTTGCCGATGGGTTCGAAGCTTGGATAAATAGGTTTTTACTGGCTATCTCCAAATATATAATGTACAATCCAATTATGTTTCAACCAGTCATAGGCAACACTGAGAGATATGAGTTTATCTACTGTTATAATTACAAATAAGGAAACAATTCATCAATCATCTTTTCCTAAATTCTAGATTTTCATCAAAACAAACAGAATTAAATTCAAACGGAATTGAATTTCCAAACTGTAGTGTTTGACGCCAAATGACTTGACACAAATGACTTTTCAGAAAGCGGCATCGTTATTCCTGATAATTTCACTCTTTTTGTATCATCTGGATGTATGCATCTTACTATCCGATCTGTCACAAGTACAAAGTGCTGACTAGATAAACCTAAAAGGTTCTATGTTAATATAAAGGAGATTGGATTTTAAACATTAGTTTCGATTCCGTTCGATTCTAACTTATAAATTGATTATTACTTTCGATGCTTTGTATTTTTATTTTCAAAAGTAAATTTTTTCACACGAAACATGCAACGGCAAATAGATAAAGAAATATGCGCCAACCCAATTTGTCATTATGAAAAAAACAGAGATGATAAGATTTGAAAATGTTTTATGTGGTCATATTGCTACATAACACACTGATTAAAACTGATTATAGATTTGGGTTATATGTTTTCCTTTCTATTAATTTTCAATTCGAAAACTTTTATCCCACTTATCGACGGTATAATCCATGTCAGTTTTAAGTTACGATTTCGCTACTAAATCCATATGGAAAATAGCTGTATACGGTATTCATTATATGGAGAAAATTCTTGCTTATAATGTGTTCAATACTACTGGTTGATAAGCTGTTTATTGAGTTAAAGAACATTTCATCTAGACAAACAGAGGAAATCTGATATATATTATTTCAACTTGTTTTTCAAAATTTTCACAGCGTTTTCTAAAAAATAAAAAGAATACAATTTTTTTATTAAAGTCTTCTTTAGCAATCGCTTTTATACAATTGCGAAGTATATGCCTCGAATAACCTTGTAAATCATTTATGGTTAATTGATTTACAGAATTTAATATATAAGATTTGCAAGTGATTCATTGAATCTGCTTGCCAATGATCTTCTTACAATGGATTTAATTTTTGAAAATGCAAATTCAATTGGATTAAGCATATAACTATAAGGTGACAAAAACATAACCTTTACTCCTTTTTCATCAAAAACGTTTTTGGTAATATTGAAGTGATGGATCTTTGCATTATCAAGGATAAAAAAGCAATTCTTAAAAATTGATTTTTGATTGCATTTTTCAATCAATCGATCAAAAGAATGAATGAACTTATCGGAGTTCACTGAACCGAAAAATGTTTGAACAAAAAGAATTTCATTTTCTGTTATTGCGGATATCAAACTTACATTAGTTCCACGTGTTGACGGAACCATGACACTTGCTGGTTGTCCTCTTGCAGATCTTCCCAAAGTTCTTCTCAAATACAAATTAAAGGATGATTCGTCAATAAAAACTTTTATGAAGGAGTCTTTGATATTCATAAATCCATGCGCATATATCTGTCGTTTGATTTTTTGCCTTGATTCTGAGTTGATATTATTCGATGTAAACGGACATTTTAAGGATGATAAAAATTTTTAAAAAACGCTGTGACAATTTTAAAGAAATTTTTGGTTATTTAAAAAAATCCTGTGAAAATTAAAAAAAACGAGTTCAAATACTATAGTTACTTCGACTGTTATTTAGTTTTCAGTATAAAAGAAAATATTTTTGATATGGAATTCTTTGCTAGTTCATTGGTTTGCATACGTGAAGCTTCGAATAGTTCTGTTTATTGCTGTTTTTTTACAGTCACTGGTTTTATTTGTAACTGGTATAGTGGTGAGTTTTCTTACTCTATTTTATATATTAAT